GAGATGCAGGGTGGTTGATCCTTCTAAATGTTCTGCTCCTTTTAAAACTGCATGCAAAAGAATGGCCAGTTCTGTGGAATTTATTGTTACTAAATCTCCTCTCCATTTGCTTAATTGTATTATTTGCCTGGGGGATGCTGTTTCAATGCGGAGCCAAGTCAGCTAAATGAAACACGATCCTGGTGCAAGAAAATAATGATGTGTCTCTTTTGCTAAATAACAGTCTCCCCCCTCATCTCCAGATGCTTGGAAACCACACCCTCATATTTTGGAGGCAAGGGAGGGTGGTGCCCAGCTTGGTCTTGGCTGTCAAGGGCATTGGCCGGGGAGTGGGCAGACCAGTGCAGCGAGAACTGGAGCTTGGAGATGGAGGGAGAACAGACACAGAGGACACCGGGAGCAACTGGAGAGGCAGAATCACTGGCCTTCCCTCTGCTCCTGGGCTTTGGCCAGGCCTCACCCCGTGCCCACCCAAGCAGCTGCAAACCAAAGCTATTGGTTAGCCATTTAGTTGAGAAAACTTTCAAGGTTGGAGGGATCTTCGAGGAGATCATCTACTTCCTTTTTATCTTAAACGATCACCTGGGTTCAGTACTTAAAATTCCTAGATTAGTGTTTTTCAATCATGGCATTATACAACCCTTCACAGAGTACCTCTCTCATTTTTCTGACCTTCCCTTTTGAGGCTCTCTGAGGTCAAATGAGAGCATGGGATGCAGCAAAGACCACTTGACCAGTATTTACTGAGTACCCACATGTGCCAGGCACTGGGAGCATGGCAGTGAAGGAAATTAGGTCTGCCCTTGTAGAGTTGACATTCAGGGTCCCATGGAGTGAGAAAACACAAATACATCGACTATATGGATGGCATTACAAATGGAAGGTGTTATGGCAAAAAATAAAATTGAGCTAAGGTGGGCTGGGTAGGGGTAGGGCGATCAGGGAAGGGTCCCAGAAGAGGTGAAGGGGATGAACCTTGTGGTTTGGGGTGCAGGGAGAGGTTCTAAGTGGCTGCTACACTGGTAGTCTTCAATGCTAGTGGGTGTCAGAATTGTGGTAACAAGTCTCCCAGGCCGCAGCCCCTGAGATGCTGACTCTTCAGGGCTAAGGCAGGGCCTGGCGATCTGCCTTCTAGAAAGCCCCTATGCAATTCTGATGCAAGGGCTGAAGACCAATTTAAAAATATCTGTATTACTTTGAACTTCTTGTACTTTGAAAACCTAAAAAAAGAATTATTCCAAGGACAAGCAATTTTCACATTCCAGAAAGGCTTTTCTTATAGACTGCCATCTTACTGGCAAATGCAGACCCCAGAGCAAGAAAGAGGAAATGGGCAATTATTAAGTGCCTGCTGTGTGCTGGGAGCATTCTCCACTTACTGCCTTAGCCTATCCTCCTGACTCTGGGGCTGGGTGTCAAATAAGCTGGCGGCTCACTGCTTTAAAGGAGTCGACTCCACCTTTAGTGCTCAGTTTCAGGTGTGGAGAAGCCAGTGTGTGGATCTGCTCAGTCTCCCTCCTACACCAGGGCTAGTGCCTTCACCTCTCTGACTTCAGTTTTGGCCAAGGCTAACTGGACTCTTGGTGAAAA